TACTTCAAAGCAAGGTAGGGTGCCCGGCTCCCGGGAACCGTTCGATCAAAACGTGGACGGTCGAGATTTCAACGCACAAATCCCGAAGCCTGACCCTCTGCGCCCATCCGACGGCTCCCGGACACTCTTCTCCCATCCGACGGCCACCTGCGCGCAAGGCACTCTGCCGTGCAACAGAGGATCTCAGTCCGTCATTTTTAGGCCTTTGGGGTGTGAATTCAAAGAGAAAATTGTGCAAAATAGGACCAAATCATATAAAGTTTACATTATTAGGACGTACTTAGTTTTTTCCCATCCGTATGCTCTATTTAGTTCTAGTTTTAGGAACCTTAATTTTTTCCCCGTTTCTACCCTCCACCCTTGCATCGACTTCGCAGGCCTCCACCTTCGACCGCAGCTTCTCTCCCTGCGATGGAACGCAGGCCTCCACCTTCGACCGCAAATGCCCTCCCGCTCGACGCCTCGCCTCTCCTCCAGATCTCTGCCCCGCCTCGCCTCGCCGTCCAGATCTCCGCCTCGCCTCACCATCCAGATCTCCGCCTCGCCTCGCCGTCCAGATCTCTGCCTTGCCTCACCGTCCAAGTCGCGGTTCAACTCCGCCATCGCAGTCGTACTCGAGCAGATCACACTTGGATTTGAATAGATTATTATATCAGAATTTATTGTTTATTTATTGTCTGCTTATTGTCCATTTATTGTCTATTTAATGTCTGATATTTCCTAAAGGTAAGAGTATTGTGGTCAATGCAGGTGTAGTTGAGTCTTACGCGAATCTTCGGTCTTAGTTTTGGAAAATCCGTACGTTTTTCTCCTATTTGTTGAAATCTCCCGAATTCAAAAGATTCTAAAGAATAATTAAGCAAAGTACACTTTCAAAGTACACATAAGGCACTTGCAATTAAATTAATTTTTTGAAGCAGTAAACAAACAGCAACGCTTTTCGATTACAACGTATATTTTTCCTGGTAAAAATATACCAGAACAGGAATGCTAAAGAACCCCATAATAAGATATTAAAGGCTATTTAAAGGATATTTAACAGAATCATGGGCTTTAACCAAAGACATATATATGGAGTCAATAACCTTCAAAATAAGTTATTTACGTGGACTGGCGGCAAAAGCATTCTCTTGCTTTCCTGCTAATCACTAAAACATGAAGTATTTGTATTTTATTATTAACTCCGTATATATATTATAATAGTATCACTGCCATTGTTCATAGAACTTGGGAGAATCCGAGAAAAAGATTTGATAACTTGCACCAGAAGAAAGTAATCAATCTCTTTTATCTTTCCATCTCAATGGCCTTTTTAATTTACACCAATAATCTCTTATCAATAAGGATGCTTGCCTGGCCAGTTGTCTCTGTAGTCCAGTTTGCCCCACAACTGAAACAGAATGATGGGCTTCATTGCCCTTTTATGTGTATTTTACATTGCAATGTTTTTGGTTATGATATTGCAGACGCCTTCAAAGAAGAAGACGGCTGAAGAGAATGAGATCATAGAGGTGAAGCAACCAGCTCCTCCTTCACATTCTGAGTCTTCCTCCACCGATCCCTCCGTTTTTGAGAGTGAGTTCATCACTCCCAGGAATCCAATAGGATATCAGTCTATCCAGAATTATCCTTAAACGGCACACATGTATACTTCAAAATATATTTATAGATTGCTAAAGTTACTAATACCCTTAGTGATATATAAATTCTGCGTATTAGCCCCCTATAGAGGAATTTGATATACTATCGCAAAACAGCATGAAGACTTTGGTTTTTGGCTTAATCTAACGATAAAATTTTGACAAATTAATAGATTTGAAGGAGATTGGTTCCCTGGTTGAGGCTGGAGGATATGAAGGAGAAGTTAGGAAGATTGCAAGGGCATTGAGGTTAACGATGGGATTGAGGAAGAAGCTTAATGCTTCTGTGGTGTCTTCCTTCCTGAATTATGCCCTAACAACACTTGCTGGATCAGAACTTCACGCTCGGCTAGCTGCTTACCTGATGCCTCTTCTTTTGTTGAATGTATACACTCTTAACACTTCCTCATTGAGTACTCCGTAATTAATGTTCTATAATTTGCCGTAATAACAATGTCAATGCTTTACAATATCTGATCAATTGACAGAAGGATGAAGTTGATATGGAAGTCGACACCACAAAGCAACTTGTGCCCGAGCTTGAGATTTATTGCTACTTGCTTGTTCTTATACATTTGATTGATCAGGGGAAGTACAATGAGGTTTGTTGAATTCTTCAAATCATTCATCTTTTAAAAAAATCATGTAAATTACTATCCTAAAGTTGTTTCCTTGACAGGCAAAGGCTTGTTCTTTAGCAAGCATTGCGCACCTTAAGACCATAAACTTGAGGACTATTGATGTTATTGCTTCTAAGATCTACTACTACTATTCTTTGACCTATGAACGTACCGGTCATCTTTCTGATATTCGAGGGTACGTACATTAAGGTCCACATTTCCCAAATGTAAACTTAATACTGAAAATATATTCAACTATATATTACACTGTGAGTGGGAAATGTACACTCTTTTTTCCGTCTTTCGACCACCTGGGTTCTGCTACGCTTTTCTTATCAAAATCCTTCTTTACAGTAACCTCCTTAATTTGCACCGAATTGCAACACATAGACGCGATGAGCTCGGTCAGGTTTGTGTTGTATAGAATCCAACTCTTAATTCTATTATGAAAATATTTCTATTTTCTGTACTTGATGTGATGACTGGTGTAGGAAACACTTCTTAACCTGTTACTGCGGAATTACCTTCACTACAACCTGTATGATCAAGCGGAGAAATTTAGATCAAAGGCACTCTGTTTCGAAGCTAAATCAAACCATCAGGCAACTCGCTAACTACACTTTTTCTCTCACTATGACAAGATTCTGTTTGTCTTAAATGGACTCATTCAGCTTTGGGTTACTTTTCTTTGTTTTCCAGTTTTGTAGGTACCTTTTCTATCTTGGAAAGATAAGGACTATTCAGTTGGAATATACAGATGCTAAAGAGTATCTCCATCAAGCTGCCCAAAAGGCACCAGTTTCTGCACTTGGGTTCTTAGTACAATGCAATAAGTGGGCCATTATGGTTCACCTATTGCTTGGGGAAATCCCTAAGAGGAGCGTTTTTATGCAAAAGGGGATGGACAAAGCACTAAGGGCGTATTTTGAGTTAACAAATGTAAGTACCAGAAATCAAATTTGCAAATGTCACACGGTTCATTTATACACGTTGTGCATAACGAGGCGTGGGCTCAGTCTTGGATCTAGAACCAGACCTGAGCTGGTCAGTAATTTATCTGAAAACCGAGGAACCAGTCCAAGTCCGGCCCCGTTCCCATAACTGCAAAATAGGACTAGACGGAACAATTCCAATAATACCAACCCAAACCGGGATACAAGGTTAAGGATTCAGTTCACCGAATTCTAAGGACTCAAAAATCAGCAAGACTGGATTCAAAACCGGAAGACTCCACCACCAGGTACAACTTATAACTAATAAAATGTATTTTTTTTTCAGGCTGTTCGCATTGGGGATTTTGAGTTATTTAAAACTGTTAGTGTGAAGTTCTCAAGCACTTTCAGTGAGGATGGGACAAAAAATTTGATTGCTAGGCTCCAGCATAATGTCATCAGAATCGGGTTACGAAATATTAGTATCTCATACTCTCGAATCTCATTGGTCGATGTGGCAAAAAAACTACACTTGCATTTTGAAAATCCCATTGTTGATGTTGGAAGTATCATAGGGAAAGCTGTTAGGGATGGCACAATTGATGCCACATTGGATCATGCTAATGGAATCATGATATGTAAAGGGAAAGGAGACATATATTCTACAAATGAACCTCAGATTGCTTTTAATTCTAGAATAAGTTTCTACCTTAACATGTACAATGAAGCAGTCTGCGCTCTTAGTTTCCCGCCTAATCCCACCCACAATGAGATAGAGAGAAATCAAGAGGGATATTCAAGTGTTGCACCACCTTGTTAGGCTTGGAAAGGATATTCCCATTTTCATGGATTGGTATAGACACACAACTCCATTTTTGAAACTTCATAATTTATACACTTCAAATATACATTTATTACTCTCTATTTTCAATGTCACACTTCTATACTCAATTATTATGATGCAGTTTCTTACTTTATTATAGTTGTGTTTGTTGTCTCAAAAGCTATTAAATAAAAATTAAACAAGTAAATTAAATACGGAACTAGAAGCTTCAAACTCTTATCTATATATTTTACTTAGTATACTTTAACAAATGCATGCAAGTAGTATTTTTTGGCTCATTCATTGCCAATTTTTGTTTCTTGTTTTTGTCTTTTTATAAACTAAAACAGGAAAATAAGATTTTGATCATTTGTTGGTAGTTTTCAAAACTTACATGATTAGTGTGACTATCTTTTGGTTCAAGACGCAATCTTTACATGTAACATGCCAGAAAAAACAATGACCAGCAATGATACCAAACGTGGCCTTAGCAGCCTATTGTAGACTTGTATTATTACTCAGGGATTCTTTCCTCCAGATTAATTCTAAACCACATTCGAAGGAATACCCATTGGCGTCATTGCAGGATCAAATGCAATGTTCAACTAGAATGCAACATAAAATTTCAGATTTCAGACTGGTGTATTTACAAAACCTAAGAGGAACTCCCGAAAAATCAAACCCTACCAAACAAGTCCTGCATGAAGGTGAGGACTGATGAAACCACCACCAAACCTATCTGTAATGTATGTCAACTTCCATTGAAATGAAGTACTACCTCCGTCCCGCTATGATTGTCCCGTTTTACCTTATCGGTCCGTCCCACTAAGATTGTCCCATACCAAATTTAGCAAAGTTTGTGTGGCTCTAAATCATTCTTACTTTATTCTTACTTTATCAATTCAATATCAACCACATAAACCACTTTTTATTGATTTGCGTGTCACTCCCTCTTGTCCCATTGTTAGCGGGACGGAGGGAGTATGAATAAAGAGTGGGTGGGGAGGGGTAGCATTCAAGATAAAGTTTCACGTTAAATATAATAGAAGTGAGGACAAGATTCAATGTAACTTGATCGATGCAAACCTCATTGGAACATCCATACAAAATCAAATGGAAATTACAATATACAGTGATCACAAATGACCCTTTTGCTGTTGATCAATCAAGCAGAGGTCAAACCAAATGACTTGACAATAGTACTGACACTCTCAGCAAAGGTTCTGGATGTTATTTTCTTACCAGGAACGTGAAATGGGTTTGAAACCGCATCCACATATGCAGCATGAAATCTCCTGAAAAACTGCTGGTGATTTCACCCATAAAATAGAGTAAGCAAACACATAGCATGTTTTTCAAACAACCAACAAGGAGAAATGATGTTAGAACCAGGAGGAGATATAGCAAGCAACTCTCTCAAAAAGGTAAGGAATGGATTTACAGGAGGAGATATAGCAAGCAACTCTCTCAAAAAGGTAAGGAATGGATTTACAGTCCAAGATGCACTATAGAACCACCTTTTGTATGTGTTCTCTTCATTGCACAAAAAGGATCATAGTTGTCAATGGCGCTCAGCCGCTCACCATAATGCACCAAATGGCGACATGAAGAGCCCTTGCCACAAAAGTGTCATGGCGATGAGTGTACATGTGGGAGTGCCATATGGGCGCCATCACCATAGCTGCGCCGTGTGCGCCATTTTTTTAGGAGCAGATGCATGTTAATTTAATTAATTTTGGGCTCTGGCCCTGATTACTAAGTAACCAGCCAGCCCACTCATAATATCAAAATAAACTTTAAAACAAACTTCAAAACCCCTCTCTATCTGCTTTCCCTTCAAGTATACTAACTACCTGCTAAATAACACATTAATCATAGAATGTGGCTATTGTCCAATATTATGTTATTTTTGAAACTACTTTAATTGTTTTAACTTCACATATTTTGGTTAAAATGTGGTGATTAAACTCTTTTACTTATTTTTTGGTGGTTGAATTATAGATCCGCAGTGTCTATAACTCATATTTTCAGTATTAATATTATGTGTCACGTGATGGCGCATCTATGGCGTCACTACATGACAACTATGAAAAGGATCCTAGAGACTGTTTCTTAGACAGAAAAATACTTCTTTCTTCTTGAGCAGTCAGAAAGAAGGTAGGTAACATTAAAGTCTGCTACAAACACGTGGTACTAGACCCTTTTTATTTAAAACATAGGTCAGTTAGTAAAAAGGTATGCAGTGCATGAGTCTAAAGGTAATGTTGCATTTGACACAGTAAACTAGTATAAAGAATAGAGCCCCGGGACAAGTAAGACTTACATTTCTCACATCTGCATCTCGGACATCGAGATCCGTTGTCACTAATATGAACTTCACCTTTGTGTTGGTCAAATAACCATACCTGAATCAATCATGGCATGAGCCAACTGATTATTTGATTAAATAATGACACACTGTCAGGGCCGGTGCTGGGCATTTCTTAGCCTATGGGCGACTACACGGTGCATTAACGAGGAGCCTATACCCATTGTGTGGTTATTGTTATTGTTGTTGTTATTAATCACTAGTGTTCCATCCAAATAACATGGCAGATAACAAGAATATCTAATAAATGGAGAATTAACTGGCTTCTCTGCAACCCTGGCAAAACCACACGTAACGAGGAAAACATGAAGACTCACACTTTGTAATTCTCTGTTGGGTATAGCAGACCGAGAAATGTCTCATTCAATGCAGGGCTAGTTTTTTTGGGATTATTCACTGCATTGGAAAAGCATACACCTTTTAATTAGTGATAAAAATATATGGGAGTATGGAACATGACCAGCACTCTACTTCTGAGCATAAATGCATATTGTATCTTAACTAATACATCCTCTATTCCTATTTATCTCTCTAGGTGGGCCAAATCACATGTTTTATGAACATGCATCAAGATGATAAAATAATCATACTTTTAATGTTTTACCAAAAAAAAATTGATTTAAGGCAACCCTCCCAATAATATGCTTCAGGGAAAGGGGTAAATTGAATAGTATAATTAAATTGGAGAAAAGTGATTTAATAAGCATAGATTTCATAAATGGACAGATATGAATAATTCAAATTGGTCAATCTAGATTGACAAAAAGAAGCACTGGGAGTAATAAGTTGAAACTATCCGTCTATTCCTCAATGAGAAGAGGTCCCAATATTTAGGTTGCCAATGATAGCAGCAAGGCAGCTAATATTTTGTATCCTCACCACTTGGCATACAGCGGAAGCTTCTAATCCGAATAATAGATCATTCTGTTTACATTTCTCTTTAGTGGTTAGAGTTGTGTAGTTGTAATTGATCAGATTCTGTGTAGGCAAGGCAGTGATGGCCTGTAATTTTATTCCAATTTCATAAATTCACGCACATACATGCACATATGAATTGGCCTGATTTCAGTTAAACTACCTAACCAAATCTACAAGTTGGTAAGGTATACATCTATGGAACATCATAGTAAAGTAGTTGGTGCAGGTTTGTGGATAATGGAATTTAAGTCTGAACAGAACACCTCTTTCGTCTACAACGTCAAGAGAGCAGTGGACTATGTGATGAAGCTTTAGGGCATCATCAGCTTCCGTGAAGCTCTGTATATACAGTGGATTGTTCTGTCCAAGGAGGAAAAACATTAATCAACTGAAATTTTACAATTGTTCTGATCAGTTAAATACTCCAAATGAAAGAGGAAACAACCATATCTAAGACGGCAAACTACCTGGTGCCCGACGACGGCAACACAGACAATCATCTTTGATTATCCGATCACTTATGCTGAGAGGAGTATCAAAATGCAAATCACAGCAGAAAACCATAAAACACAAGTAGTGATATGGACATTTCCACGAAGAGAGAGCATACCTGAGCAGGATGAATGAAGGTGATATCTGATTCGAGATCCAATTGGGCTTTTTTTCGCTCCAACTGTCCAAGAGATCCGATGACTACACTCTTTAGCGAGGATAAATGCCTAGGGATGGCAATAAGGGGTGGGGCAGGGGTTCACTCTCATACCCGCCCCCTGTCTAAGAAATGGCCCCCACCCCCGCCCCCAACTACTCAACCCGTCCCATCCCCTGCCGCCATCCGCTAGACCCACGGGTACCCAACAGGGGAATATTCGTCAAAAATTAACACTATTTTAGACTTAAATAATTTTTCAAAAATCAAACAACACTTCTAGTATCTAGGTAAAAAACCTTTTAGTTTTTAAGTGTCAATTCAATCTTACATCTCATTTCAAATCTAGAACACATTATACACGTTTTGATTTAGTCATTTTATCAAACAATTTATTAGCATTGATTAGCTCTATAATATTTTCTTAAGCCTTCATTCAATCAACTATGGTCATTTTACATCATCTAGGATGACCTATGGTCACCAAATTTTTAAGAGGCCTAGCTACAATCATAAAGATGACACTTAGAAGAAAAGAATTCATGCGCTATAATAGTAAAAGAAGAAAACATTCACAGTGTGTCTAAGGCGTTTAAACTAATATCACTTTATAACTTTCCCAAATTAATTTTACTTTATATGATTTTGATAACCAATTTTACGAGATAGTTGAGTTATTAAACAAGAATTAGGTAGACACATTAGGCACAACCCATTAGATAGGAGATGCACCTCTGTTGACATGAGTGATATTATTAATCCGTTTAAATTAAATCTCAAGTATTACACCATCGGGCCACCAATCGGGTGGGCATGGTTGGTTAACCGGATTTTGGTTAACCAACTTTCCGGTTAACCGAGAAACCGGTTACTTCGGTTAACCGAGTACTCGGTTAACCAAAGCTTCGGTTAACCAAAACATCACTCGGTTAACCACAAACCATAAACCATAAAAATTGACACATCAAATATTCATTTTCATTTTCATTTACCCCTACCATCTGCCCATACCTCGACCCCACCCCCGACCCCGACTCCACCCCCACCCTTGACCCGACCATACCCCACCCCACTAGTACTCCTTACTTTTATCCTACCCCAACCCTACCCTTTTACCGCTTACCACGTGCCCCTACTTCGACCCCCATCCCAATCCCGACCCCACCATCTTACCCAACCCCTACCCCACCCCACCCCCTTCCCTACCCACCCTACCCACCCCCCACTTGTACCCCTTACCTCGACCCTACCCTTTTACCCCTACCACCCGCCCCTACCTCAACCCCACCTTGACCCCACCCCCGACCCCACTCCCATTACAATACCCCGACCCCTACCCCTTTACCCCATATCACCTGCCCCTACCTCGACCCAACCCCTACGAGTAGGGTGGGGGTTGGTATGGGTGGGAGTAGGGGTTGGTATGGGTGGGAGTAGGGGTGGAGGGTATGGTCATGGTAAGGGTAGGGAAGGGGTGAGGGTCAAGGGTGTGGGGGGTAGGGTGAGGGGTGGGGGTACAGGGCGGGGTAGGGGGTAGGGGTGTGGGTAAGCGACTAAGCGTACGAGGTGACCCCACGTTTTATATTACATACTTTTGTTCATGAATGTTTGTGTGTGTATATATCTATAGGGTTATTTTGGACATTTTAATGTTAAACGGTGTTTTAAATCCTTTGAAGTAAACATGAGCTTACAACACTGCTTATTTTATGCGCCGCTTATTAACGCGAGTATTAATAAGCATCGTTTACTAACTCATGAAGTAAGTGATTTTTCTAAAAAAACGGTACGGTTAACCGGAAAAATAACGGTTATTTTTGTCCAAACTAAATTTTATTTTTGTAATATTTTTGTAAAAAAACCCTTATTATTATTATTATTATTATTATTATTAGTATTGTGATTATTATTAATTATTAATATGTGTATATATACGGGGAACGGGGCGGGGATAGTGCGGGGGTGCATAACCCATCACCCATCCCATATTTAAGCGGGGAGGAAATAATTCCTCCATCCCCATACCTGCCCCACCCCACCACCCCCCAACTCCCCCCCACGGGGCGGTTCCCCACGGGTCCCCGCCCCCATTATCATCCTTATAAATGGCACATTTTTAGTCTGAGCGTGCTTAATTATATTGAAATTTAACAACAGGAGGGATAGTGATCTAATAAACGTTAGTTTATGTGTATTTTATATATAATTTTCGAATTATGATCTTGTTTGCTTAAATCTTGACTGATCTGATCAAGATCTGTTTTGATTTGAGACTGAAATAAATCAAAGTAAAACATCCAAAGTTCCTAACTAGTCAATTGACTCGTGTGGTGCATGAGTAAAATAAAATCTGTCCAAATATCAATTAGTTTGACGAGTAATTTTTACATACCTTATATAACAATTGAATACTCTTTTCGTCTTTCAAAACTTTGTCTGAATTGATTGACGTGATAAATACAAGAGTTCAAACTTTTCTCAGCAACAATTAAACCATACTAAACAAATTTTTCGGGTAAATTATTTTCACAAATGCTAAAGCTACCCCATTTTGTACCCCTCCTATGTTTGTGGTTCACAAAAGCACATTATTAAAATGAAGCAATTAATTTAATTGAGTAGGATTTTTGTGAGCCACAAAAATAGATGGGATACAAAATGGGGTACCTCTGACATTCCTCAATTATTGTAGCGCAATCTAAATGAAAACATTGATGTATCACCAAGTTAATTTATGAATTAGCTAAGTATCATTTTATATATTTTTTGTGAATTTTCTAGAAAGTTCTCAAATATATAGGTTATTTTTTATTTAAGTTCTTTCTGATTGATGAAGAAAATAGAAGTAAATAATTAGTAATACGAGTATTATGCAGTTGAATACAAATAGGGAAAACTATCAAATAAACCCTCGAACTTTCATAAAAAGTGCAAATAAGCCCTTTTATAGGAGGCTCTGTCCGGTCGTCGCCATTTGGGGCAGTTTCCGGTGGATTTTTTTGATGAAATTTTTTGACCATCTTCTTCATTAAGTCTATTTTACCCATACCAAATTTCAGCTAAAAATTCAATCGAGAAGGCAGTCAAATGATTTTCTGAAATATACTATCCTGTCTAACTGCGCAGTCATCTTAAAAAATTCATTTGACTGCCTTCCCGATTGAATTTTTAGCTGAAATTTGGTATAAGTAAACTAAACTTAATAAAGCAGATCGTCAAAAAATTTCATCAAAAACTTCCACCGAAAACACGACGGCTGGACAGAGCCTCCTATATAAAACTAATTATTTGCACTATGAAAGTTCGAGGGTTAGTTCTCCCTATACAAATATATAAAGGTTTAGGGGAACTATCAAATAAGCCCTCGAACTTTCATAAAAAGTGCAAACAAGCCCTTTTATAGGAGACTTCGATCGACCGTTGCCATTTGAGCGGTTTCCGGTGGAATTTTTTGATGAAATTTTTTGAGTATGTTCTTCATTAAGTCTAGTTTACTCATACCAAATTTTAGATAAAATTTCAATCAGGAAGGCAATCAAATGATTTTTTGAAGATAATTGCGCAGTTAGACAGCGCAGTATATTTCAGAAAATCATTTGACTGCCTTCTCGATTAATTTTTTAATTAAAATTTGGTATGAGTAAACTAGACTTAATGAAGAAGATGCTTAAAAAATTCCATCAAAAAATTCTACCGGAAACCGCCCCAATTGGCGACAGCCGGACAAAAACTCTTGTAAAAGGACTTATTTTCACTTTTTATGAAAGTTGAGGACATTCTTACAAAAGTTTTATAGTTTTATGTGCAACTTTCATTTTCGCAGGCTTCCACCAGTTCTCCTCCATTCTCACCTGCTTTTTTTTTAACCAAGCGAGGGCAAAGGATCTCAGTTCAGCTTCCCTTATTCATCCTCTTGGAATTCCGTGAGGCGCTTCTCCTTATAAATTGTTTGACAAAGAAATCATCTTTTCATAAGAAGAAGCTGCGGCGTGAACAATAGTAGCTATCGGAGAGGGAGATTACCGTAGAAGATTCCGGAGGACCGTCGTGAAGTCTTATCCCATACACAAGCTCTTCATTTATTTCCTATTTCTATTTCATTGAAGCTCATCCATCATTCTCGGTGCATAGAATATATAATTTTATTGAAACATTTAATTAGTGCTGGTGCTTCTCCGTTTCAGAAGGTATGAATGCTCTCCGATTCCGAAGGTTATATGTATACTTCGTCCTTTTCCTTTAATTGTAACTAATCTGACACATTATAAATTGAGATGCGAGTATAATAATCTGAATGGCGTATTAGTTATGTGATATTTGGTGTGCACTTTGATCTTTTGGTTTGGATTATCCATAGCTGGGTGTTGAGAAATATATTGGTCCTACATACTGGGATGAGCTGTTTTCATCTTGTTTGTGTTGCTTAGAAGCTTCAGAGATGCTTCAACCATTCCTTGATAGCCCGGAGTTCCTATGGCATTTTAGCTCTAAGTTCAAATAAAATCTGAAAGCTTTGAGAATTTGTCCGTTGGATGAATATGCATACAGAAAAAATTAGTTTATTTGACATGGAGTTGAAATGAGTTTTTGATTCAGTATTCTCATGCATTTGTCAGATGGAAGCTGGAAGGAGCCAGGATGCTTCCTTTGTTAATGGACCTGCAATGACTTCCAAAGACAATTCCGGATTGCAACAGGATGATTCTGTTTCCTGTGAGCAAAATTGTGATCCCAACAGAAGATATACATGCAACCCGGATGATGTTCTCAGGAATGTAAAAGATGTTTCATATATCTTCAGACAAGATGTTGTGAAAAGTAAAGCTGATGGCAAAATAGGGATAGTGACTGAAGCTGCTGGTGACTCGGATTCAGATAGTGCAATTAGTGATGATGAATATGAGGAAGAGGAAGAAGATGCTGAAGAAGCAGATAGTGATGGCATTAAGGATGCTGAAGGAAAACCGGAAAACGATGAAAAAACTGAGGGGTGCCCTGGTGAGAATACAGGCAGTGACCACAAAAGTGATCGTCTTTTAACTGATCAAGTTAGAGTCCTTTGGTTGGATGAGACTGAGTCAGTTATGTCTATTGTTGATGTCACAGTTATTGATCGAGGATTTCTACCGGGGGATTATGTTTCTGCTGCTGCCAATCCAATAAGCCAAGTTGGTCTCGTGGTTGATGTTAATATTTCTGTTGACTTATTAAGCCATGACGGCTCTTTTCTCAAAGGCATATCAACCAGAGAGTTGAAACGTGTTAGGGAGTTTGCAGTTGGTGACTACGTTGTTCATGGTACCTGGCTTGGTAGAATTGATGATGTTTTAGACAATGTGACTGTCATGTTTGATGATGGTTCTCAATGTAAGGTTATGAAAGCTGATCCGTTACGTCTCAAACCTGTTGGCAGGAATAGCCTTGAAGATGGGAGTTTTCCTTACTACCCAGGTCAGCGTGTCAAAGCAAGCTCTTCATCCGTTTTCAAGGACTCAAGGTGGATATCTGGCTCATGGAAAGCTAACCGGTTGGTAGGGACAGTCACAAAAGTTACTGTTGGGTCAGTGTTCATTTATTGGATTGCTTCTGCTGGATATGGACCTGATTCTTCTAGTCCTCCAGCTCAAGAGCAAAGTTCCAAAAACTTGAAGCTCTTATCATGCTTCACACATGCGAATTGGCAGTTGGGTGACTGGTGTCTTCTTCTTTCACCCCCTCCCCCTCAATCGTCTTCAATCCGCTTGGACCAAAAATTAGCAAAGATGGATCTTAGCGGCTCTACAAAAGAAGAAGCTTCTAAATCTGCCCAAATTGGAACAGACTGTGATTCAGAGGGGTCACATTGCAATGGTGAACCCATAGGAAATGATGTCGCCACTTCATTGGACTTAAAGTGTGATAGTCCAGAAAAGAAGGGGTCTCTGGAATCTACTACTTGTGGTAGTACATTGCCTGAGTCAAAAGAGCCCGTCCATGAGAGTTGGCCGCTTCACAGGAAAAAGATTCGTAGAGCTGTAGTCAGGAGGGATAAGAAGGTAAAGAAAAAAGAGGAGAATTTCGAACGTGCCCTTTTGATTGCAAATACTAAGTCACTTATTGATGTAGCCTGGCAAGATGGAACCATACAACGAGGGCTGGAATCCACATCCTTGATTCATGTTGATAACCCAGGAGATCATGAATTTCTTGCTGAACAGTACGTAGTTGTGAAAGCTGCGGAAGATGCTGAGGATGTCAGTGAAACTAGACGTATTGGTGTTGTGCGAAGTGTGAACGCAAATGACCGAACAGCCTGTGTGAGGTGGTTAAAGCCTGTTAATAGGGCGGAGGATCTTCGAGAATTTGATAAAGAGGAAGTGGTTAGTGTCTATGAGTTGGAAGTGCATCCCGATTATGATTACTGTTATGGAGATGTAGTTGTTAGGCTGCCACCTGTTTCTACTCCAGCACAGCTTGAGAACCCTGTTGATGATTGCAAGCAACTACTTGGTCCAGATGAGGAGAAGGAAGACTTGGAAATGCATCTGGAAAGCAAGAAAGATGGAAGTGCATCAAGTGATAAATTTTCAACGCTGTTTTCAGACCTCGCCTGGGTTGGGAACATCACTGGGCTTAAGGATGGAGACATTGAAGTTATGTGGGCAGACGGGATGGTATCAACGGTATGTTTAGATCTTGTAGGTTACAATTTCTCTTTCTTCAATTGGGCATTAGGGGTGTCACTTTTAATTTTTTTACTGGTGAAGCATTAAACTGTTTACCATTTTTTTTGCTTCCCAATTCACAAATTACCCCTTTATCATTTATACAATGGTTCTTACCATTCCAATTTGCCCAGTTAGCTTATGGATAGTAATCTATATTGAGTAGAAGTCATTGTGATGGCTGATGAAAATCACAAATAGTGAATTTAAACTTTTGAGGATAACAAATGCATAGCAGATACTGCATTAAGTCCATTTGCTCTGATCAGTAATATGAATCTAACTCATTGTCGACTCCTTAATTGATCCCTGTATTATTGTCTCTATGATTAAACAACATCTTAATTTCTTAATTAAATATTTTCCACTTAACCACAAAGTAGTTTCTTTTTGTGTGGTTGTTGCTAACTTTCTTTTATACATAACAAGAAGCAGTCAAGCAACTGCTTACATGCTTAATGGAGTTTTTGTGTTTGTTAGGTTGGACCACAAGCAATTTATGTTGTCGGTCGAGATGATGACGAGTCTATGGCTGCTTCTGGAAGTGAAATTAGCGATGATGCAGCAAGCTGGGAAACACTTGAGGATTATGAAGCAAATAACCTTGAAAATTCAAATGAGGTTGGTAACTATCAGAAAATTGCGATTTATGTCCTCAATCATTATGTTCAATCAACAATCAGTGAGATTTGTCCTTTGTGTTTACTTGATATATCCAGATTGGGCTTGGGGTTTGGCTGTGTTACTATCTAATTAATACTCCGTAATTCTCTTCTCCATTAACTGCGACATTGCAATACCAATGTTTAAAAAAGAAACACAGTTTGTCTTAAACAAAACAATATGTTCAAAAGTACGTGGTAAGGGGAATCTCAAAGAAATTAAGATCTGTTTTCTAAACGAATCCTGATTCCAGATATTGTTCTTTGACTTTTGATAAGAAAGTTAATTATACTTTATCCATGAAAATACTAAATTATGTAGTAAATTAGTAAATCTGCAGAATATATATTGAATATTAGAAGAGAAAAAATCACAGAATTGATGAGTCTTTTCTGGATTGCTATACGCATGACCACTTGCTGCTTAGACACCAATTTGCAATCCTTAATCTCTCTAATATTGAACAATTCCTTATACTTTTTAGGGCCTGGGCACTCAAAGTGCTACTGATGTCAATATTGAGACAGAAGAGAGTAAGATGAGTACAGAAAGTGCTGGAATGAATGGAGCTCTGGCTACTGCATTTGGATTTGTATCTGGGCTGGCCGCTGGAATACTCTCAAGGGTAAGGTTGAGAACAGAATCCCCAAGTTCAGGTTCCAGAGAGGAAGCAGAAACCCAACAACCGGGATGGGATAGAAAAATAGGCATGGATGATAGCGAAATGCTATCTATAATAAGGACAGAGGCAAATCATGTTGCGGAGGCCATTAAACAGTCATTTGTGGCAGAAGCTCCATGTGACAATAAGGCAGAACCAACAAGTGCATCTGTACACCATCCAGATGGAGCATATGCTTTTAAGAAGTTTGATATCACAACTGATCCTCATGATCATTATTTTGTTGGTGCAGTTGATCAGGTTAGTTACTTGCCTCTTGATTTTTGCAGCTGATAAGGCACTTACATACTAGAGTTTTCTCATTTATTGTATTCCCTATGTGTGCTATCAATGTATTTGTAGAACAATGCTGGAAGGAAGTGGCTTAGGAAAGTTCAACAAGATTGGAACTTTCTACAGAATAACTTGCCTGGTAACTTTTACGCCCTCCATCCAGTTTTGTTTGTCCAATATATCCTTTTTAGGTCATCAAAATGTTCACCTGTACCAAATTTGGTCATATTTTGTGTCTCACAAGCATTCTTACTTTTAGAAATTCAATATGAACCACATAATCACACTTTTCCTTGATATTTGTGCCAGACCCCATGCCCCAGACTTAGTGGGACTGAGTTAGTATTGTTTCTGTGTGCTGTGTCTGTTAATTATTGGGTCATGTCATGAGAAGCGAAGGCGATACTATTCAGAGATTTTAGGATGAATAAAGTGGTGTAGAGAAGGGTAGAGAAGATCACATTTAACTGCAGTGGGTGGTGTCTGGCTGGCATAAAAGGAACACTTTGATTGATCTTGAGTAGCTTTGTCACCTTGGTTCAAATCCTACTAAAGTTACCCATAGACTCTTTGGGGTAAATTTACTGCTGTTATGTTCTCACGGGGTGGGTGCTCCGGCGCCGTCGTGTCGGCAGGCTCCACATGGCCGTGAAGGGATGAATCCTGGTTCATTGGATAAATGATTTTATATAAAATTAATGGGAAAACGGATAATATAAATAGACATTTAGGAATTTTAAGGGGAGATGTTGAGTTCTTTCAAACTCCCTTGTGGTAGCTAATTGTAACAGTTTTCTAATGCATTTCATTTATGGCAGCCATCTCTTATAGAGATGGGGTCGGTTATGGAGCCCTAATTGAATTGTGCGCACGAGCACTCCTACTAACATGATGACATTAGTAGCCCCTCAAATTTGATTAAAAGACATCACAATAAAATAATAATATTAATAGTTATAATAATACTCCCTCCGGTTCCAAAAGATCTTGACACTTTGACTTCACAGTTTTTAAGGAAATAAACACTGTTTGGCACTGTTTGGCACTATTTTGTGTAGATTTATTTGCCAAATAAGGCAAATAAGGAAGTGTAAAGATCTTTCTGGTACTGCTAAAAATGGAAAGTGTAAAGATCTTTCAGAACCGGAGGGAGTATTAAGAATAATAATATACTACAACCCGTGAAGTCGCGAACGAGATAGTCTGCTCCTAACGTTGCAACAATGATAATCTATGTTCTTGCTTTGCATGTAGATACAGTTCATAATTTATGTTTGATGTTGGATATGTTTCAACAGATGGTATATTCGTGCGTGTTTATGAAGATCGCATGGACCTTATGAGGGCGGTGATTGTTGGACCATACGGCACACCTTACCAGGATGGCTTATTTTTCTTTGATTTTCACCTTCCACCAGAGTACCCTGATGTTGCACCAGTAAGTTTTTATCTTTTCTGCTTGTTGTATAACTTAGTGTATCACACTATCACCCCACCCCAGTAAAAAAAGAAATCCAATGGCCTTCAAAAATATCTGTTTCTCACTTTCACATCCATATAGTGAATATGAAAACATTTGTTTACACTCAATGAATTACTTTCTCTGCTTGCATTCTAGACAGCATATTATCATTCTGGAGGATGGCGAGTTAATCCAAATCTGTATGAGGAAGGCAAAGTTTGCCTTAGCCTTTTGAATACCTGGACTGGTAAAGGAAACGAGATTTGGGATCCTGCATCCTCAAGCATTTTTCAGGTCCTGGTTTCACTTCAAGGATTAGTTCTTAATTCCAAACCATATTTCAACGAAGCTGGATATGACAAGCAAGTTGGAACTGCCGAGGGAGAGAAAAATTCTCTGTCCTACAACGAAAACACATTTTTGTTGAACTGCAAAACAATGATGTATTTGATGAGGAAGCCCCTCAAGGTGATTTTCACCTACATTTTTTCTTCATTTTTTTGTGATGCAATACTTCGATCCCTGTCAGGTTATTATTATCAGTAGTAATTTTTATTGCTATTTAAGATGTAATAGCTAAAGCTGAATTTAATCTCGGAGGAAGAACATATATGTGCATTACTAGGCACCTATGGTTCTGTTTTGGAGTGTTTTGCAAGGGAAAAGGCTTTGAAGGGCCAAATCTATATCTTGATATACTTTTGAGGTTCAAAAAAAGATTAATTCGGTTTATCAAGATGAATATTAATACTTCTCCTCCAAAGGCCTATTTCCAAAATGACTCTTAGTGGTGGGGCCATGTGGGGCACTCTTATGTTCAATAATTTTTAACAAAGACTTTTAGTCTTATTTCTTTTAATTTGCTTTCTTGAATGTTTGCTATGCAACTCTCCACACTTTTGCTGTATGGTCATGTAACCTTTACTCATTGAAGGAGTGTTGATTTGTTCCAAATTTAATTGGTTGTGTGTGTATGTAGGACTTTGAGGAACTGGTCACAGAGCACTTCAAGAGGCGTGGTTATTACATTCTAAAAGCTTGTGATGCATATATGAAGGGTTACCTTATCGGTACACTAAACCCAGATGCTTCTTTTAGCAGTAACAGCACCACACAATCAAATTCGGTTGGTTTCAAGCTTATGTTAGCAAAGATTGTGCCAAAACTCTTGCATGCTTTGAGCGAAATTGGAGCTGACTGTGATGAGTTTAAACATCTGCTACACAGTAGTGCACCATAAAGGGGAATTAATTTGTTTGTTGAGTTCCGGCTTCATGTCTTTGTTGTGACTTTTTTTCTTTACTTAAGCAGTTGTGATAAATTGTTTTGCGGAGATGCCCCTCAAAAATTGAGGAATTTGAGTATATAGCAATCTGGCTTTGGTTTCTTTGGTTGGAAAATTAGACAGGGATTCGTAAAATTGTTGCGTTCAATTTTGTCCCCTTCTGTGGACGGGATGTGTGGTATGTGTTTGTGTGAATTTTGCTGTCTAGCAGATTTGGTTTTGCTGAAGAGGACTTTCTTTGTATAATTTTACATTTACACTGTATATACACTTACACTGCTAATAGTTGTCTTGTGGATGTTGCAAGTTTTTAATTTATAAAAAAACTTGTTACATATGTTGTTGGGTTGTTGTTTATCAGTTTATGTCTAAAATGGTCTCTTATTGTGTACCAAAATCATTCACATAGTGTGGAAAAACAGACACGTGATAAGTTTTCATTTCGTGTGTTATAATGCATTTAATAAAAAATATTATGACAAAGCATCTACTTCTACTTCCTCTGTCCCATTAAAAAGTTCACACTTTCAAGTTTCAATTTTTGGACCTTCTATTAGAAACTTCCCATTTCCATTTTAGGAAACAATTAACAATCTTAATTGAAAAATTAATCATTAAATAATAAAAATAATATATTTATAACATCACAGTTATCAATAGTAACTACACTATAACATATATCTATTAAAATTATTTCTCAAAATGAATTCGAAGTATTTTATTTAATTATTGCATAAATAATCGTATCGTTTTGCTATGAGAATCTTCTAACGGGACGGAGGTAGTAATATTTACAATGTCATTTAATGATCCTTTCCCTTGATAAATATAAGAGTGAATTCCCCCAAATAGGAGTAAAACATAGTCAAAATACAAATATAGGAGTACAATGATTTGAATAAGAGTAATTTCAGTGTTTGGACAAATATACCCCTTCCCAAGCCCAAAGCTCACACCACTTTAATTAATAATTCAAACATAAAAGAAATAACTTTAATTTATATAATAAGAAAGTAAAACAATTAGAAACACTAAAATATACAGAGTATATTATATAAAATATACTCCGTATTAAATAAAATAAATAAAAACAAAAAAATTAAAATAAAAAATATCAAATAAAAACTAAAAAATAAAAATAAAGAAAATAAAAATGTAAAAGATAAAAAAATGAAGGCCTCTGTTGCCTCCGGCCACCGAAAAATGCCAACATTTTTCAGAAATGCCAACATTTTTTCAGAAATGCCATCTTGATGGCAATTTTTTGAGAAAATTTGACATTTTGAAAGAGTAAAAATGTCATCTTTATGGCTTTTTCAAAGAAAAATGACATTTTTTTCGTCGATAAGAGGTGACATTGCTAGGCGGTGGCCGAAGCTACGAGAAAGGTCTCCATTTTTTAAATATTTTTTAGGGAAAATAACTTTAAATAATACCTACTATCTTCCATGAACCAAAAATAATATATACTTTAGAAATAACTTTTAATAATATGAACTACTTGAATGTAAACAAAAAATAAAATAGAGTCACTTTTCTACAAGAAATCCAGTCATTTAAGACACCAAAAACTAATATCAAATCATCAAATAATTGATATTTGGAAATACGGTCAGTTATTTGATATTTTAATATTATTTTTTGATGCGTTAATTAACTGATTTTATAGTGAAAGTTTGTCATATATCAGTTTTGATATATATTCAAATAGTTGATATTATTAAAAGTTATTTCTTAAGTTCGTATTATTCTTGGTTCATGGAAGATAGTTGGTATTATTTAAAGTTATTTTCCCTATTTTTAATGTGTTTTATCTATTATTATATTTTTTAATATTTTTTTATTTTAATACTCCGTAATTTTTAAAAGTATTTTTTCCGGTCTCCAATACTGTTTGTTTATTTAATTGGCTAAGCAGCTTTTAATATTTTGGCCAAATCAAATAAGTCCCATTTTAGAAATAATTAGATCAGGGGTACCAAGTGTAGAAAATTAATGTTTACTCCTATTGAGGGAAGCTTTAAATTTCACTCCTATTTGTGCAATAATGTTTATTTTTACTCCTATATTAGGCAATTTGCATAAATATAAGGGATATTTACTATTACCCCTTCAGCATAACATGTTCAATAATCAATTAATTATCCGTGAGTTTTGGTAATTCTTATTGTGTGCTCCTCATATTAATTTTTATCTAATTAAATAAAGTTTATATAACGCTAAAATTCTATAAAGGTTGTGTACAATCATCACTTTTAAAAGTAAAACATTTCATCTATTATATTTACATGTAATAGTTGTCAATTTTTTTATTCTTAGCTACCGGTAGAACAAATATTAATGAGAGTAGCTTTGACAGAAGAATCATGAATATTCATTAGATAAAGGGAAAAGAGTCAGATAGACCCTAGCTTGAACTTACATAAAAAGGTCAAATGAGCCCTTATATAGGAGGCTCTGTCCGGCGGTCGCCATTTGGGGAGGTTCCCGGTGGAATTTTTTGATGAATTTTTTTGAGCATCTTATTAAATAAGTCAAGTTTAATCATACCAAATTCCAGCTAAAACTTCAATCGGGAAGGCATTCAAATGAATTCTTGAAGATAACTGTGCAGTTAAAAGCGCAGTTATCTTCAAGAATTCATTTGAATGCCTTTCCGATTGAGTTGTAAGGTCAAATTTAGTATCAGTAAACTAGACTTAATGAATAAAATGCTCAAAATATTTCATCAAAAAATTCCACCGGGAACGGCCCCAAATGGCTACAACCGGACAGAGCCTCCTATATAAGGGCTTATTTGACCTTTTTATGTAAGTTCGAGGGCCTATTTGACCCTTTTCCCTTAGATAAATAAATTAAGGTTGTTTACAATATGAGTTCTTAGCACATCATCATCATTATCACCTCAGTGCCGCAAAGGCTCCCAACGTACAGTGGGGTAAAGGGGGTCGGATGTACGTAGTCTTACCCATGTACTAAAGCACATAGAAACTGTTTCCGGATGACTCATAGTGAAAATTGCGTCCAAAATTGCATGGACTGAGTGCTGCTTCATAACAAAGAAATACAAATAGTTTAGTGAACCATTTTGCTTTATTCCATCACATTCTCAAGCCAAAAAAATAGCGAGTCTTTAACTCTATTGCAAATGATGGAAACTAAGCACATCATCATGAACATAATATCATATTTTTAATTCAGTTTTCATTAGATAAATAAAATAAGGTTGTTTATAATATGCGTTAGACGGTACATAAGGAGTGGTAGGAGTGAGAGGTGACCTAGAAGGGGATGGGGACGGTGGGGGTAGTTGGATCGTGGTTTTGGTAGTGGACTGGGCAGGTGGGTCAAGGGTTATATCGGTGAGGTGCATTGGAGACGGTATAGTAGAGATAGAATGTGTTGGACTAGGTGAGAGTGTTTTGAAAGGATATGTGTCCTCATGAAACCTAACGTGACGACTAACATAAACGCGACCTGTGATAGGATCAAAATAACGACAGCCCTTATTACTTGATGCATAGACAAGAAAAACACACTGAACTGAACGAGGTGATAATTTATTGGCTGAGGTGGCCGAAAAATTTGGATAGCAGGCAGATCCAAAAACGCGCATAAAGGAGTAATCCGGAACACGATTAAAAAGTTTTTGGTACGGAGATAGGCCATTTAAGGTAAGAGAGGGTAATCTGTTAATAATATATGCAACAGTAAAAATGGCATCAACCCAATATTGACTCGGAACCGAAGCTTCAAGAAGCATGGTCCGAGTTCCGAGTTAACTCTAGCAAATGACGATGCTTGCGCTCAGCAACCCCATTTTGTTGAGGTGTGTCAGAGCAAGATTTTCTAAAATAAATACCATTAGCGGAAAAGAATTGCTGCATATTATGATTAACAAATTCACCTCCCCCGTCACTTTGAAATTTTTTAATTTTCTGATTAAAAAGATTTTCAACCAAAGCTTTAAAATTTTGAAAGTGCATAAAAACCTCACTTTCGTGACACATGGGATATATCCAAGTATAACGAGAAAAATCATCAATGAAACACACATAATACTTGAATCCCAAATTTGAATACACAGGTGATTGCCACACATCAGAATGAATAATTTCAAGTGGAAAAACAGAATTATGACTAGCATCCATAAAAGGAAAACGTTGTGATTTTCCTAATCGACAAGCCACACACTCATGCGTAAAGGGAGTATGACTACATAAGAATTGTTTTCTCTTAAGAAACTGTAAAATACTATCACCGCAGTGACCTAATCTACGGTGCCACACAGAGCCAGAAGCTAAAACAGAAGCTAAAACTAATGGTGATGATGACGGCAGACTGATAGGATAAAGTGGCCCACTACTGGTAGCTCACAAAAACACTGCCCCCGTTGCTTTGTCCTTAATCAAAAAAGAATTTTTATCGAAAATTACAGTACAGTTATTATCAGCGCAGAGCCTTTTAATTGAAATTAAATTATATTTTAACTGAGGCACATGATAAACAGATTTTAAAGTGAGAGGACGACCAGCCGTAGGTAATGCGACATCACCAACATGACTAATGGGAAGATGGACACCATTGGCAACACTAACAGAATTATAGCCGATGGGGGGAGATTTATTAACTAAAATACCTTCAGATGCAGTCATATGAGTAGAGGCTCCTGAATCAGGAAACCATAGAGCAGGAGTAGTGTCACTGGGAGTGGTCAACAGAGCAGGGACAAACAGTTGTGTGAAACGAGAAGGACAATTGATGACAGAATGACCTGCAGAAAAGTAAATTTGACAGACAACAGGATGTGGAACAGACCCAAGAATACCCCCATATGATGGCAAGCCTGCAGAACTACCGTTAGTAACACAAACAGGTAACGCATTAATATGTAAATGTGACACAGCAGAATTACAAATAACAGTACCCGTAGATGTCACACCCCCTGCATGTGGACCATCCCCTCCAGGGTTATAAGCTGACTACCCCTGAGGATACCAATACGCCGACGGCTGCCCATACTGGACTGGATACTGTCCTCGACCACGGCCCCTGCCGCGGCGGCCTCGCCCGCGACCGCGGCCTCTGCCTCTATGCTGGGAGCCTTGCTGCCGTTGTTGCCTGACCGGGTGCTGTGACTGCCCGACCGGGTAGTGTGAGCTCGACTGCTGTTGTCCTGCCTGCTGGCCAGTATGCTGTCTGGGGGAAGTGACAGCAGCGCCAAAAGCCTGATGAATGGACGAGGACTCCTGGGAGCGTAGATAAATAACCCGCTGTTCTAACTCAAGAAGATGATTACGGAGAGTTTCAAACGGGAAATTTTATCCAAATAATGACATAGCAATGAATAAAGATTCATACTCAGGTCCCAGTCCCATAATAATAGTCTTTAAAATT